CCTCTCGTGACGCCCGGGTTCATGCAGCGCATCGTCGCCGGGCTGCAGCTTCCACAACTGTTGTTGTCGCTGACACTGCTAGTGACCTAGTTAGTCTACAAACTGCTGCTGGTATCTCTGTATCAGACATTCAAGCCACGCTTCTTGCTGTCGACCCCAACTCTCTAGTGATCGCAAAGGATATTGCAAACGCCAAGAATGCGACGCGCCGCCATGAACTGGCTAGCCACACCTCGATCGAGGCTTTGTTTGAGCTGCTCAATAAACACAAGTTCTTTCATGGATGGACAACAAACCCAGAGACTCACCAGCTCAGACACCTCTTTTGGGCTCATCCTGCAACGACCGCATTGTACCGGCAGCATTGTGGAGTATTGATAACCGATTGTACCTACAACACAAACCAGTACAAGTTGCCATTGCTCAATGTGATTACAATTACTGGGGCAAACACAGTACTGCCTGTTGCTCAATGCTGGCTGCCAGGAGAGACCGAGGAGGATTACGTCTGGGCATTCAACATGCTACAACTTTTGCTGGTGGAGAATGAGATTGACCCGCCCCGCGTGATATTAACGGATCGCGATTTAGCTTGTATGAACGCCCTCGATAGGGTGTTCCCTGACGTACCTTCAATGGTGTGTAGGTGGCATATGGTGAAGAACGTGGAAGCTAAAACAAGATTGCATCTCGGGCAGGTTGATGTCGTCAACCCCGCTCCTGGGCAACCGAGGAAAGAAAACTCCTGGGAAACCGATTCATTTATGTCGACATTCTTCGAAGCGATTGATGCAGAGACTGCAGAAGCCTTTGAAGCCAAATGCAGAGAGTTACAGTTGAAGTCGAAGGTAGTTTCGGACTACCTCGACCTACACTGGTGGAAGTATAAGACACGAATCGTAAAATACTGCACCAACAGCTACCGACACTACGGTATCCGAGATACATCCACTGTGGAAGGCACACACGCGACAGTGAAGGCGAGATTAAAGTCAAGCCAAGGAGATCTGTACACGGTTTTCAAGTCTCTACTAAGTTGGTGGGTTGCTGCGGCATCACGAACAAGTTGGTTGTATGAGTACAACGCCACTAGTGCGCCATATCTTTTGCAGAAAAACCGATACGCTCGTGTTGTTCGCGTAATTACGGTGTGGGCTCTCACGGCTACACATGAGCTGTGGCGCGACGCTCAGAAGATTGTCAATTCTCGGACGAAGCAGTCTGTTTGCTCTGGTGTTTTTCGTGGTGTACATGGACGACCATGTCTCCACCAATTAATTGCAGTCATTGAGTCGAACGGTGAACGATGTCTTGTTCCGGAGGACTTCGACAAACACTGGTGGGTCCGACACGACAGCATCGAGGTATCGGAATCGCGGATTCAAGAACCTGCACCGATCCGGCAAAACCGACGCGCATCATCTACACAGCGATCACACAAGGCCAACCATGGCACTTTCGGTACAGCGCGGGAACCGACTTACAGCGAGAGGGTAGACCAAAATCATTCAGCATCCCCGCCACAACACGCTTCGACCCCTTCAAGACTTGAAATTGTTGGCACTCACCAGACCTCTGCGTTCTTAGAGCCGTATCTCCCGGCACGATCATGGGGGTATGCAGGGCGCACTCCATACGCAGCCACAGATGAAAACAGAGCTGTCAATACCTACCACTGTTTGATGGATGCACAAGGCTTCAGTTGTTAAGAAGGCTGTCACCTTCGCTAAATTTGTATATCTGTTTTTTTCTTTATTAAAATACACATCGAGATACTGAAATGCGGTGCAATTTTTGCAATGATATCAAACAAGTTGAAGTGTTCAAAACACTTCAACAAAGTCTATAGAAAATTGAATAAAAAATATTATAAAAATAACAATATAAATTGAATTGAGCTATTGGGTTAAGAGTGTTTGCGGCTAATGTGACTCCTCAAACTACTTTTCACTGCAAACGATTTTTGACACAGATCACACGAGTAGGTTCCCTTTGCGTTCTGTAGTTGCTGCCGAATCACCCGGTGTTGTTGTCCGACTGGGTTAGATAAGCAAAAGTAGCGATGGTTACGCATTCGATTGGAAGATGCATCAGCGTAACCGCAGTATTGACAGGTAAAACTTGAGGTTAAAGCAGACATGACAATATCAGGTACCCACGAAACACCTTCAAATTGCAAGTAGCAGTGGACTCTGTAGTTGTGCTGTGAATAGCTTACTCCAGCGTGAAGAAGATCGCCCCGAAAAACAATGCAGTAACCAATAGGGATATCCACCAACCGGGATCGCTCCTCGCGTGCCACAGTGTAACATCCGGCGTAAACTCTTAATTATGTACCACTTTCGAGCGCGACGACGACACTAGCTGGAATGCTGCGGGGAAAACGCATCTTGACAGCTTCCACGTCGCTACTTGTGAAGTCTGCATGCGGTCCTCCACCAGGGCGCGAGTACAAAAATGAATAAACTTATGCTCGAAAGTTTGCATCAACTAGTGTAACCACCTCCTCAATTTTCCTGTGGAGCTTTTTCATCTGTGGCGAAAGACAATTTTGACGTGATTGGCTTCGGAATGTGTCGTCTTCTTCGCCACCCACCTCACGGAAAACACTAATATAATCAGATCGTCTTGCTTGTCGAAGCACACATGAAATAGTTGCTTGCGTGAGATTGAGGGGCAGCACTAGATAGCCGTCGGGCGGAAACTCAAGTCTTGGGTTGGAAGCCATTTGAAGACTGAAGCTGTTTTCGTTCAGATAGCACTTTGGAAGATCTATTTACGTCACAAGCTGTGAATTGCATCACTAACGATTTTTTTGCATCACTAACGGTCTTTTTGCATCACTAACGGCTGCGTCACTAACGGTCTATTTGCAGCACTAACGGTAATACCTCTGCCCGTTTTGTGTGAGGGCCCTCTCTAGGAGGGCCCTCGTTAGTTTTTCCCCTCGAGATCTACCTGGAGATCCCGCAGGGAATGGAAATCAGTGAGAGTGTGGGGCGCAAGTTAGGCGTGAGCGAAAAGAACAAGCTGGCGTTGCGTCTGAAGAAGTCGCTCTACGACTTGCGGCAAGCAGGCTTAGTGTGGAGTAAATCGTTGCACAGCAAGCTGGTAGAAGCAGAGTCCACGCGTTGCATGACGAACATGTGCCTGTATTACAAACGAGAAGGCGCGAAGATGACGATCGTTGGCGTGTACGTCGACAATCTTCTGGTCACGTCATCCAAGGCGGAGCTGGTAAATGCGTTTTTTTCGCTCGATGATTGTGCTGTCTGTAAAGGATCTTGGGGAGGTGAGGAATCTCCTCGGTAAGCGTGAGGAGCTTGACGAAGCCGAGGGCTACCCGCTGGATCAGCAGGCCACCAAAGAGGTGCCGCTTGAGTAGTACGGGTTGACGGACGCGAACGGCGTTCGGGCCCCGGGGAGAGAGCAACGAGGCGGAAGTCGAAGAGCCGCAGCTGCTGACCAAGGTTGGTACGCCGGGCGAGCCGACGATCCGCGGCTTCCAGTCGCTTGTGGGTAGCTTACTCTGGATCGCGCGTTGTACGAGGCCTGACTTTAGCTTTGCTGTACACAAACCCACGAGAAGGACACACCAGCCTACCACAGCCGACTGGAAGCTGGCGAAGAAGATCGCGAGGTACCTGAAGGGCACGAAGAGCATGAAGCTTACTCTACAGGCTGCGGCCAGGAATGACGACGATGTCGTATTGGAGAGCTCGAGTGACGCAGACTTCGTTGCGGACAAGAACGATAGGAAGTCCGTGTCTGGAGGCGTGATAACCATGAATGGAGCTGTTGTGCTGTGGGTTTGCAAGAAGCAGACGGCGGTAGGCTCTCAACTATGGAAGCCGAGTTTTCGTCGACTTCGCACGTGGGAATGGAGCTGCTGGGACTGCGCGAGCTGATCAAGGAGCTGGGTTTCGGGGCTGCGGAGCCGATGTCTTTGTGGATGGACAACCAGGCTGCGATTGAGCAGCTGGAGTCGGAGGAGAGCATGACGAGCCCCAAACACGTTGATATACGTGTGAAGTTTATCTGTGACTACGCTAGGAAAGGTGCTGTGAAGTCCGAGTACGTACAGTCGCGCATGATGATGGCAGACCTTCTCACGAAGGCGCTGCCCGCACCGAGGATCGCCAAATTGCGAGAGATCTTCAAGTTGAAGTGACGGGAGTGCGACGACCGAGGAGGAGTGTTAGTTTTGGACCGTGATTACGGTCTCGGCACCGAGAAGGAACGGTTTGGGCGCCGACTCTACGGAGGAGTGGCACGGATGGTTGCCAAGGATATTTTGCAGGAAGACTGTTATGTGCAAATATCACTTTTACATTTTTCACAGTAAAACTTCTGTCTAACATGGACCCACTTCTGGTGATCCCACTCCAATTGACACTGCTGTGTCCAGTGGCTATTACGAAATTGCATGGTTTCTTCATGAGCCCGAGATAAGGAACCAGTACGACAGCATCCAAGCGGTGAACGAATGCTCGCGCCGATGGGATGGCTGTTTTCTTACCACTCAAGCGAGATCAAAGAGTTGCCGGAAGCCCTTTTTGACATGTCGATTTGGAAGTTTGCTTTTACTCGAAGGCTGGTCTCAATGGCAGATGCATGGCCATGAAGTCGCGCTATTCTTTCGTCAGAAGACTACGGTTATTTTTTTCTTTTCTTTTCAACGATACCGGTATTTCAATTTTCACACGGTCCATCGTTGCCAACACAATGAAAGAAATACGATCACTTCCTGTAAACTGCAGCCTCTGAATGCACATTTTTAATGCTGGGCCCTACCTTAGCCGAATACGCCGTCTTACTATTATACTAACGTTACCACGTGTTGCACTTTGTTGAGAGTTACTCGTCCTTATCCAGTTTCAATATCCGCTCGAGGTGCTGCTCCACTTCAATGTGACCTGCTTGGAAAGCGATTTGGGCAGCATCTTGGATAAACACTTCGCCTCTAGGTTCCTTCCAGACAATCTCACTGAGCCATCGTACTATATTGAGATGTCCATACTTTGCAGCACTACGAAGAGCGTTCGCCGTCATCCGCTCGTCCCTATTCGCGTAGAGCCACTGCACCATCTCCAAGTGGCCATTCGCAGCAGCACTGCTCATCGCGTGTTTGGTACACCCTTCAGTTCGGTTCTCGTGGAGAAAGCGCACAGCCTCAAGATGCTCCTTACCGGCAGCATAGTCCATCGCCTCCATGCTGCAGGGTTCGCTACGGTTTTCATGAATCCATTGTACCAAGTCGAGACGACCGCTTGCTGCAGCGTAGTTCATGGCTCGATAAGTGCATCCTTCACTCCGGTTCGCATGCAGCCATTGCATCACTGAAAGATGGCCGTGTTCAGCCGCTGTATCCATCAAAAAGCGTCCGCAACGACTCATCCCTTCGTCGCCATCGCCCCACGAAGTGCGCTCTGGGTAACAATCGTTAAGCCACTGTAGTACGTGAGCGAAGCCCCAAATAACTGCGGCCGCTGCCATGTACTGACCATTGTCCCAATCGGGATCACGAGCTGCAGCGTAAATAAGTGCTCGTCTCGGGAGGCCCAATCTGCACGCGCGCCCTACTTTCTTGCGCGATGAAAATGGATTAAGATATTCGTCGACGAGAGTCACGATGTGAGGGAGCGATTCCATGTTGTGCTTGTGTAGATTCTCACGGCAAACGTGGCGAGCTGGGGGTACTGCTGGGTCTTGGGGGATGCTACGAACATCGTGGGGGTAAGTTTTGCCACTCGTGACTTCGAAAATTGCAAAGTGCTGAGCTGAAGTATCAATAGCGGCGAAGACATCCGTTTTGCAGCGGATGAAACTGGCATCACCTTCTATTGAAGGTGAGGCGAGGAAGGTGGAGGAGCTTGAGTAGAAGAAAGAAAAAAGAGATGTGATTGAATTTTATGAGTCTGTCTTCAGAGAGTTTCCTGGCACCATTGATTTATCTTTCCTGTAAAAGGTGATGTATCGACTTATGCAGGATTGGGTCCAGAACATATTTTGTATGGTAAGACATTCTGTACAATAACTTGTACGCTATGTCACCAATTAGGACACATCATTGACAGCCTCTCTGTGTCCCAAGTTGGGGGCAGTTCTTATCCCAGATGGTGCAGCTGATTTGCATTCAAGACGTTGAGGACTTTGACTTAAATTACTACTTCGAGGATAATCGACTGTTTCTTGCGGTAGTGAGTTGCTAGAAAGTATGTCTATACCTTTCCGAAGGTCGCAAAGTTCTTTACCGTCGTGCAGTTTAAGTATCAGTGAAATACGCTTGCTTTCTCTTCCGTATCGTTCTCGTTGAGTGCATTAAGTGTTCATTTCCTGATCTTTCAACTTTTGCACAGGTGCGGTTTTCTTCTGATTTGCATGCAAGTATTGAAGGTGTTGATTAAGTGCAATCCTCAAGGGAGCGAGACTTAGTGCGATGCGCGCCTGACGCTATAGTCTGGGCTAGCTCTGAGTGAACTTGTTTCACTCGGTAGCGAATCGTCTCCACTGGTCTCAATAACCTTGGGTTTTGTCATATTGATTTACTGCAATCAATATTTTGCTGCTATGGTTCATGTGATTTGCACAGTACTAATATACTATCTTTTGTATACACAGATGCCTGTCAGTCTTCGCACATCAATTTTGTGCCAACATCAAGAGATGCTGTCGGACCGGTACTCAATGTGCGGTCTCTTATCGATCAGCAACGCTCTTCAAACTAGGGATTTTATCACCCCAGCCATGTTGCGGCCTATTTTGGCTCGGTTGGTAGAGGTGAGCCCAAGTGTGGATCATGGAACATCCACGCTACGGTGCCTACACTATGGATGCGTTGCAGAAGGGCTTGCAGAAGCGGCGCAAACAGCTGATTTATCTGAACACAAAGTCGGGGTTCAAGAGCAGACCCCAAGCGACCTGCCTCCATCGTGCGGAGTCGAAAATCGGCTCTGCTGATTATAGGTAGGCGGCCTGGGCAACGAGCAGATACATGGCATTGTATCGCTCGTGCCTGGGTTGGTAACAAGTTTGTGTTCATCGATTCCGACACCTATCACTTCTTCCCTAACCGGGAGGAGCTTTTGACAAGTTTCTTTGAGCACAGTAGATGGTGTGTAACTCAATTGGAGGACATCCCTCCTGCTAATTCTTTAAGGATTTAAATTAATACGTTTTTAACTTTTAAACAAAAATGGGTGGCGGTATTAAATATTTCACATATCGATTAGTATTTTTCTTTTCCTTTTTTTTTCTTTTTCTTATTTTTGTATAAGTGTCTTACATAGTGACCCTCTTAGATTTATAAAAAGGGGTTTTGATAATGCTTTTGTAAAAATGTCTGCTACCATTTCTTTGGTGTTGCAGTACATAATTTCAAATTCTTTTCGCTCTACTTTTTCTTGTACAAAGCGATACCGAATGTCAATGTGCTTGCTTCTGCCATGCAGTTCTGGGTTGTAGGAAAGTTTAATACAACTTTGATTGTCCTCAAATAGGGTGATAGCATGTGAGCTTTCGTGTTTAAGCTCTACTAAAAGAAGCTTTAAGAAAATAACTTCTTGCATGCAGTGACATAGGGCTATGTATTCTGCCTCTGTTGTGGACAGAACTACGGTGTGGTGCTTTCTCGATTGCCATGAAATTGGGCTTCCACACATATATGCGATATAGCCTCCCACAGATCGTCGTGTCTCTGGGCAATTGGCGTAGTCTGCGTCGGAGTATGCAGTGAGATAATGCTTTGACTTATACTGCTCTAGATTTTGCTTTCCACCAAGGGTGATGCCAAGATTGCGCGTACCGTTTAAGTACTTCAATCCTCTCTTAACGGCATTCCAGTGAGGTTTTCCTGGGTTCACCAGGAATTGACTGACTTCTCGTAGAAAATATGCGAGATCAGGTCTAGTTCCCATCATTAAGTACATGAAGCTACCAACTGCCTCTCTGTACGGGATCGCTTTCATCTCATGTTTTTCTTCTGGCGTTTGGGGGCACATGGCCTCCGTCAGCTTCACACTGGGATCAGCGGGTGTACCAACCGGGTGTGCATCAAGATGAGAGAAGCGATCCAGGACTTTGGTAGCGTACTTCTCTTGGTGGATGAAAATGGTTCGGTCCGTACGGTTGCGCACGATTGACCAGCCTAAGATGTATTGAGCTTCACCGAGATCAGACATTTTGAAGCGCTGCTTGAGAGCGTTCTTTATGTTGTTAATGATATCAAGCGTAGGGGCTATGATGAGGAGGTCGTCCACATAGACTAGAATGTAGCATGTAGCTCCATCCACAACTCCAATGAAAACGCATTGGTCTTTGATGAGTTTGTGGAATTTCATGGTGAGAAGAAAAGAGCACAGGGTAAGATACCAGATCCGAGGTGCCTGCTTGAGACCATATAGGCTCTTCAAAAGCTTGCAGACTAAGTGCTCTTTTCCACGAACAGTAAACCCTTCAGGTTGCAGCATGTAAATTTCCTCATCGAGGTATCCGTTCAGGAAAGCGGTTTTAACATCCATTTGATGGATCTCAAGGTCAAGGAGTGCTGCAATCGTCAGTAAAAGTCGCAGCACTTCCATGCGGATCACTGGAGAGAATATCTCATCGTAGTCAACGCCATACTTTTGCAAAAAACCTTTTATTACCAGGCGGGCTTTATAGCGGTCAATACTTCCGTCTCCATTGTATTTTACAACGAATACCCATCGACACTGTAGGGCCCTTCTCCCTGTCGGTAGTTTTGTGAGGACCCACGTTTTGTTGTCAATCAATGATTTGTATTCACAAATGGCTGCCTTCTCCCAGTGTTGTGCTTCTGGTAGTTTCTGGGATTCTAGGAACGTCTTTGGTTCAGATATGTGTCTGATAGCCAATAGAGCGTAGATATGAGTGAGGTGCTCTTTTCGTTCGTTAATGTCGAGTGGATCATCAAGTAGACACGAGTGTTCATCCTCGTTCTGAGCGTTCGTTTTGTGTTTGACTTTCTTCATCTTTACTACTACTTCCGCGGCAAGCGCATTGACGCTGCGTTTTAGTAGTGAGGCTATTGGAGGTAGCGATTGTGGTGTTGGTAGCGACGGTGATAGCGTCGGTGCGGGGCCATTTTGGTCCAAGATTGCGGGTGTATTGAGGAATTCCAAGTGTGGGAACTCGTCTTCTCTAAACACAACATCCCTGCTGTAGATAACATGGTTTTCTTTCGTGTCAAGGAGTCTATATCCCTTTTTGTTTGATGGGAGTCCTAAGTACATGCACTTCTTAGCACGTGGTTCTAGTTTTGTGCGGTGTATCTCAGGGATGTGAGCGTACGCAGTACACCCAAACACTTTGATGTAGTGCGCGGATGGTTTTCGCTTGAACCATTTCTCGTATGGGGTGACCTTATCGGTTACCGAGCTGGGAGTAATGTTCAGAAGGTCAGCAACGTGTTTGACGCATTCTCCCCAAAGAACCTGCGGTAGGTTACCATCAATGAGGAAAGCCCTGGCTCGCTCGAGTAGTGTACGCATGCGCCTCTCTGCAACTCCATTTTGCTGGGGCGTGTACGCATTTGTAAATTGTGCGTGCGTATTGTACTTCTGAAAAATCATTTTTCCAAGTTTCTCATATTCTCGGGCATTGTCGCTTTGAAGATGTCTAACTTCTTCATCGTGTATGTTCTCATTGAACTGGAGTTCGCCTACATCAGCGCGAAAAACGTTTTGTGCTTTCTTGCGAAAATCTTCATAGCATTCGTACAGCTCAGACTTTCGCTTGATGATGTAGATGAACATGTACCGTGAGTAGTCATCTATAAAGGTCAGAAAATATTGACACCCCGAGAGTGTGGGGACGGGTAATGGACCAGCCATATCAGAATGAACTTTTTCAAGAGGGAACTTTGCCCGTTCAACGGTACGTTTATTGAATGGGTTACGATGGGCCTTGGCGTATGTGCAGGAAGAGCAAAAGTAGTCTTTCTTGGAATCAAAGTCCTTCAGGCCCATGTCCATGACAGTGTTGGCTTTAGCCAGATCCTGCATAATGCGAAAGTTAGGATGACCCATTCGTTTATGCCAAAGTATAACATTATCAGGCTTACCTGAAGTGGCCACATGGGCTACCTGACTTGAGGTTGCCGGGCTCGCTTGAAACTGGTAGAGTCGAGTCCCTTCACCAATTTTGGCTTCAAATTTGGTTCGGCTAGCGAAGAACAGAACGCACTTCTTGGCGTTGGGGAAGTTGATTTTGAAATCATCTTCGACGGCTTGGCGCACGGAGAGTAGGTTGAACTTCAGCTGGGGCGCATATAGCACGTTGGCCAAGGATATTTCTCGTTCCTTTCCCTTCGTGTCCTTGATTGTCATCGCTGTCGATCATGTTCTTGGTCTTTATCAGCGGGATTTGGACTTCGTGCGGTAATTGCGCCGCGCCGTGAAACAGGTCCAACCGGATCCCAGCTGGGATCATAAAGTCGGTCCCGAGTACCACGTCGACGCCTGCACTAAAT